CGTCGTGAATAAAAGCACTCTTCTCTGCAGCTGGGTGAATTAATCCATTACTAATTAATCCAACTAATCCGAAAGCAGGAAGGCTCTGCTAAGTGGCAGGGGATGAAGCGTACTTTCTTCCAAGTCTCCCTTCACTCTGGATTGCAGGTAAAATTGCAAATGCAGGAGCTCTGTTCATTTTAGACGAGGCTTATGACTAAATGCATGCTCCCCAGCACCATTTTTATTCCCAAGAGGGGCTGTTACCTGAAGTTCTGGATGGAGGTATACGAATCCTCCTTCTGCACAAGCTGGGATTTAACGATAGTATCTCTTAGTTCAAATTTCTTCACGGACAAGAGGGAAGCCTTGTCTGAAACCATCATGGTGGAAGACCGCACCATCTCGCTGGTGACTTCAGTTTTGGGTTTACTCTGCCTGTAACAAAACATGAAACAAGCCCCTTACATGCTCTGCCCATCACTGCAGTTTAGAGTCTAGACCTTAAACACGCGCGTGCGTGCACACACGTGCTTAACGCAAGGATCACTCCTGCTACAGAAAACCTGCTTTGCATAGGTCAGACTCTCCCCACAGAGGGTCACCCAAGCTGCATACGAGAGTGCAAGGCCGGGATTAGCCCTTCTTGAGATTGCAGCCCCTGAGTACACAAGAGAGTTGCACTCGTCTAACTAAATGGATTTAAAAGCTGAGTTAAGTCAATGCAGCCGGTGAGTCTAGATGAGGCCTCACACATCTTGCTGACAGAATTTGAACTGCATTTCCCACTAGGGCAGGGAGGCGAATCCATCGCTGGCTGCCTTCCTCTGCCCAGAATCCCTGACCGCAGCAAGAGAAGGAAAAGCTACTTGTTCAGCCAGCCTCTGGCCTGAAACCCTCCCATGAGGAAGGCAGGGGGAAAAGAGGGTGGCGGGATGGCATTTGAAATGCAGGAGAACTGGGCTTTATTTAGTTTTCTGTGTTTTTTGAAGACAGACATACTAGTGGTGGTCTAGCAGGCGGGTTTTGCTATGCATTGCACATTACCGCTAATAGCGCTGTTCCAGCGGGGACCCAGGGCTCCAAGGGGGATTGTCTCAAAATTACCCCCGGCCCACCCTCAGCCTTTGGGAGCGATGGAGGCACTGGTGTGCACACAACTGGATCCACAATCCCACCAGGGGTTGCACACTCAGAGCCTGGCAGGCCAGACTGTCGGGGGGAGGCGAGAGGTTCTTCCTCCCGGCCACAGCAAGCCAAGAAGTCACCGCAGGAGCTTTCTATTTCTTCCCCCTCTGCCTCCACTGATACATAAGCCATTTACCTGGCTTACACCCCGCTGGGCCTGCCATCAACTAGTGCAAAGCATCCCCCTCCCTGTCTGGAGCAAACCCCTCGCTGTCGGCGTGCAAAATGCTCCGTGGCCACGGCTTAAAGTCCACACACGCAAACCCCCGTGTTCTGCCCTTTGCCACCTCCCGCTCCTGCAACCTCCTTATCAAAGAGGGTAAAGAACGGAAACCCCGCCGTACCTGAGGGCAGCTTTATCAACACTGTCATGGCTCCAGCTCTGATTCACTGCCAGATTTTTCTCGTTCTGCTTGATGTCTTCAGACCCAACAACTCCTGAAAGAAGAAGCACAGAGCAAGGGAACCCTCCCTGAAATGCTTCAAGGCTGAGACGCATGCAAGGAAACCACCAGCCGAGTGCCTTCCCATGTTCCCAGGGAAAAAAAAAAAAAAAGGCTTTTATTTTAAGAGCGCTGAATTCCTCAGGGTGCAACAAGGCTAAAGGATCTCTGCAAATATCAGCTACGATCCCTGAGCACAGTGAAGTTCTGCTGATTTAAAAAAGCATGGGGATATTTGCTTCTAATTTGGAAATGTGCATGAAAGTCCCCTGGACAAATACAGCTGGAGCTGGAACGTAGCATTGGGAGAATACCACATTACAACCAGGAATCAAACTTCTCATGGGAAAAGGGAAAAGGCAGGGCAGGGCGGCAACCTAGAAGCTAACCGGCTCGGGAAGGCCGGAGCTTTCACGTTTCCATCCCCCAGGAACCAAGCCTGGCCCTTTTACTTGTTACCCAAAGATCCACAAACCTGGCAAACCAGAATACCCCGCTGCCTGCGGCACCATCACGAGGGCGTTTCTGGCTGTGCCGACTCTATTCTAGTCCCGTAAGCCCTGCGAGCTGCCACTTATCTGAAGGACACCATGAATTTCCTCAGGAAACCTGACTGTTGACAAGCTTCCAGCAAATGCAATGCTCGCTACCAGAGATATCAGGTCTCCGAACACCAGCAGCCCCCGTGAAGACAGGGGACAAAGGGGGGGGCTTGTGTTAACCTGGCTGTCGATTCTCAGCCCATCACCTGCAGGTGCCAAGGGCCCTGTACAGCCTAATCAATCTAATCAACCTGCTAATCACCTCTCTCGGCAGCCCCCGCCCCGCCTGCATCTTTCCATTTTACACAAAAACTTTCTTTCTGCCAGCCCAGCCCCAGCCCCAGCATCCGACTACAGCAGCCTCCCTGAACCAGTCCTCCAGGGCTGGGGCTGCCTCTGCCTGACTCAGCCTAGCAGGGCACACCACCTCCGCGCAGGGATCCCTGGAACGAGGGAGCCAGGTGCTGCAACAGCAGGCGGGTTAGCACCACACCCAGCGCCCAGAACCGGAGGATCCGCTTCCCATCCGCGACTCCAGGCAGGCAGGTCACCGGCTGACTTGCTGATGAGGCTCAGAGCAGGAAACGCAGGTTGCTCGAGCAAACTTTGCTCCCAACCCCTACCCGCCTGCGTCCTCCTCCACGCCGTCCTGGCTCCCACCCATATCTAAGGCCTCTGTGCTCTAAAATAGCCCGACGCTGCAGGGAGCGCAGACAAGCGAAGAACGTGGGAACCAGATATTTGCAATGAGCACACGTGACTGGGTTGGCCCCGGCTGTAGGACTGCTACCTGCTGGGTGGCGGGGAGTCGAATTCTCCTCTGTGCCGGGGGCAGGCGGCGAGACCCGGCTGAGCGTCGCTGCTCGTGCTCAAGAGCAGGCTGGAATCAACCCTGGGGTAACACAGCTTGCCGGACTCGGTGCTATCTTCCCCGGCTCGTAACTGCGGGCTGGCTTGCAGAGGGTGGCACCGCTTGCTGTCACCTCCGTGCTGAGATCAGGGCTGCTCCCGACGCCTACGCAATCGCACCAGCAGGCACCAAAGTCCAGGAGTTAGCTGGCCTTGGGCAGCCCTGAGTACGCACACCCACCCCGGTCGGTGCAGGAGGGCTTCCTGGGGCAGTGTGGAGAGCAGGCCCCGGGTATCCTGGCCATTCGCAGCAGTCGGGAACCTCTGCTGAGCCCACCGCCAGGCAAGAAACGGCGAGACAAGGGGCACAGCCATGCCCCTCGCTTCCAGAGGGCACGTGCATCTGCCGCCAGCACCGGCTCACTCGTGTCCTGGCCCAGACCCAGCTCTGGAGCAAAGCCAGTCCCACCCCAGGGGAAGCAACGTCTTACCTGCCGGACTCAGCCTTGCTACCGGGGAGCTGCCCCACAAGCCGCGCAGGCTGCCAGGTCTTTGCCACTCACTGCAAATGCCTCTGCACCGACTGCGCTCAGCGCTTGCTTGAGTGCCCAACTACTCTTAAAAGGGAAGATTTTCTCGGGGTTTGTTTCTTTTGCTGCAGGCCCAAGCGGGCTGGATGTGTGCAACTCGGCTGCACCCACATCTCCTGATAACACAGGACTTGTTTCTGAGATTACACATCAAATGAGCACACAGAAAGACCAGCTCTGCTCGCTCAGAGGCAGAGCTCAGCTCTGCAGAGCTGCAATCACTGGCGGAGAAGCTTAAGATATTATCAGCCTTGCAATCTGCTCCCCAGGCCCTTCATTCAAGCCACAAGCAGAGCGGAAAGGGCTTCACCTGGGTGTTCAGAACCGGCAGACCAGAAAACCTCCGTCCTCATCTTGGGAAGCCTCCGTCTGCCCACAGAAAAAGCCCCCACACCTGGCAGGAGGATTTACTGGGGTTTGATTCTCATGAAAACCCTTTACACTCACACAGCCAAAACCCACGTTGCATCCGAGCGGGGGACGCTCCTGAAAGGGGCCGAGCGATGGCTCGCCTGTCAGGAAGCCAAGTAAGAAGAGACACCAGCAAAGTTGTTCTCACAGGGCTGCTCTCTTTGGGGCACAGGTCAGGTCTGGATTGGTGCCTTTACCCCTACAGAGCCGTGCAAACGGCCCGGCTTGCGAGGGAGCAGAGCCTGCTGCGCGCAGGGTCAAGCCAGGAGCGGGACCTTGTTTCCCGTCTCCAACAACAATCCCTCCCCTCATCTGCACGAAAATGGGCCAGGTTGGGGACACACCTAGGGGACTCTTGAAAAGCTATTATCAGCCCAGGTTGATAATTAGCAGCTGGCCAAGGAGGCGCCTCCCCTGGGAGAAGCCTGGAGGAAGGATGCAGTCACCTGTCGAACACTTCAGAGAAAATCCAAAGCATTTTATCCTCCTTAAAACCGGACAGGTCAACGCTGGGGAACAGCGGACATGGAGCAGCAATTCACACTTGCCCTGGTGCGGGCTTACAGGACACCAAAAAGCCAGTGGAGCAGCTTGGAGCCTTTTAACCACCCCCAAACCAGGCCAGGGAGAGGTGGCAAAGGCTCAGGTGCTCCCTCGCGCCAGACAAACCAGACACGTATCAGCGACGAATTAAGCGGAAGCACGAGTGAAAAGTCCTTCGGTTGTTCTGGGGCAGGGCTATTAGTCTTCTCCCTAGGCTGCAACTCCGTCACTCGGCGCTGCCCGGGGCCCTGCACGCTTTCCCAAGGAGACCCTGCAGCCTGGTCTGACCGTGACGCCAGACCCAGCACCGGGGCTGCGCCGCCAGCCAGCTGCCACTTTCAGTCTCTGGGTCACCTCGTCCCCTTGGCCAGCACGTGCGCAAGGCACCTGCAGAGGGAAGCCACAGCCGGGAAAAAAAAGCACTTCAAATTCATCGTGCACCGAGACCCCCCTTCCCACGGTGAGCCCCTGAGACTCGGCGAGCTCACCATGCCCTGCAGCCGGCACGAGACTGCTGCACCTTCCCAGCCTCCATCCATCCTGCCGCTGGCTCCAGCAAACCCTTCCCACAGCAGCATCGAAACCACCTCACGCTGCCAAGCTGCAGGCACGAACCAAACACCACCTCAAAGGCCTCGTCTATCTTGACCTTCAGTGCCCGGCAGGCTCCGGCGATGCCGGGAACACGTGGCCGGGGCAGGGACCCGTGCGCGCGGTGCAGGCAGAGCGCTCCTCCTGCGGATGCTCTCTGTGCGGGTGGGATAAAGCCATCCCCGCCGCGAGCAAGGAGCCACATCAGTACAGAGCCGCATTGCCAGTATTGCAGCAGCTACAACAGAGATCCCAGCCTCTTTGTGCCCTGAGGAGCCGGCGCACATCACCAGGGCAGACCTGACCCAAGCAGGAAGCGTTCACATCCTTGGCTCGCCTGGCCGGACAGACTTTCGAGCCTGGGCAAGGAGGCGGCGGCTGATGCCAGGAACAGGCAAGCGGCTGAGCGTGCGACCACAGTGCAATGCCCCTTGCTTCCCATGCAAGCCCTGCGCGCGAACAGAAAGCTGCTTTGCGAGGCGAGAAACGTGCACAGGACCCGAACGGCAAACAGGATTTGCAGTTAAATGGATTTAATGGCTAAAGAGGCGCTTTCTATTAAAAGGCAGTAAAGGCGCAGTTCAAAGACTGTCCTGCAGCCAAACAACCGAGCCTGCATCTCAGGAGATCAACCTCGGCTCCAAACTCTGCGCATTGAATTCAGTTAGCTTTGCCAACACCTCCCTCCGGTCACCACGAACCCTGAATAGCAAAGGAAATGGGGCTGGACTCGATGATCTTCCGAGGTGCCTTCCAGCCCTAATGTCTAATGCCTATGAAAGCAAGCAGAGGAAGTGCCCAGTCCCTGAAGGGAACCGGGGCAGCTAAGGGCTGGGAGGGTCTGCTTGGGCTGTACCTGGAGGTTTCTCCAAACCAGGACTCCAGACAGCACGCCGACAGGGGCTTGCCACCCATGCAGTGACTGGCGGAGGCTGTGCTAGCTCCATGCCCATCCAGACCCCGGGTATATTAATTAGCATTCTCCACTGGCGTCACCCTAGCTATTAGGAGGGAGGAGAAGAACAACCCTTAAAACTCTCCGACTCGAAAACAACAGAGCGAAACCTTGAAACAGCAACTTTGTCAAGGTCTAATCCCCGGCTCCGATAATAAACCTCCTCCCAAGAGTCACACAGGCAGGGACGACAATGTTGCCGTGCTTCAGAGATGGGGGTAGGGATTTGCACTGAGCCAAGGGATGTGTGCCTGCACACAGCGGTACTTCCCTCTCCAAAATATCTATACCAAGATCTCTCCCAAAGCAGCAACGGTGTTTTCTGCTTCAAGGCTGTCCAGGAGACAGGTCAGACGGGACATTTCAGTTTCCCTTGGACCGTCCCGTGCTGTCCTACCAAGCACAGACTATCACATGCAATTAAACCCGGGAGAGAAGGAACGGAAGAAAAAGAGGATATAAAACTTAAAAACAGAGAAGGAAAAAGAAGGAGTGTGATTCTGAAGCAACTTCATCTGGAAGAAATAAGGATCTCCACGAAACCGGAGAGGCATGATCGGCGTTCGGAGCTAGAAAGGGGGTGCAGGCATGATCCGTGTCTACTTCTAGCTCCCGGACCTCCAAGGAACCAGGCTGGCCCTCACCTGATCACCTTCCCCACTGCAGGGGAGACCGAGCGCAGGGCTCCCTCGAGGAGGGCACGATGGGCTGTAACGGGCGGGTCAAGCCGGGGCTGGCGCATGCACGTGGCCAGCGACGACTGAAAACAAAACCAGCCCCACAGCTCTTCCCGTCACCCCTCTACGTTCCTGTAGCGCCGAATGGCTTCTCTTGCAAAACACACTCCGACTTACAAGAGTCCAGGGAAGAGAGGGAGCCTCAGCCTGCTCTGCTGGACCCTCCCGACTGCAAAAGGCTCTTTGCAAAAGTTCCTGTGCTCTCCTTTGCATAGCCTCCATGCAAATGTGGCCCTTGCTTCCTCTTGCATGGCAGACGTGCTGTGTGTGTGGGTCAGAGGCCCCGCAGTGGCCAACCCTCCAGAGAAAACCACGTCTCTGGCAACGGCAGGGCTTCCGCCAGACCTGAACAGAGGTTGCAGCAAACACCGGGACCCGCACCAGGGCCCTACGCCTCCAGGAGAGGGACTGGACCCCCACCAAGCGACACCCAGGCCCAGCCCAATTCCTGCAGGTGTCAAAAGAGTCCTTCCACTCAGCAGGCGCTGATCCAGCACACAGGGACCCTTCTCCTCCTGCAAAGCACCTGCTCTGCCCTGCCACCACCCTGCCCCCGGGTCACAGAGGGCCCCAGGATGCGAGCGACGGAAGCGCTGTGCTCCAGCGCATGGTGCAGAAGAGAACAGGAAGCCGAGATGCAAAACATTGCACAGAGAAGCAAGCCAAAAACCCCAGCGCTGCCCAACTCCCGAGAGCAGCTCACAGAGCAGGACACTGCAAACAGCTGAGAAACTGCGCCCGGTGGGCTGCCCACCTACCTCCGCAAGGACCGTCCTCCCCAGCAACACCTTCAGGCGACAGAAAAGGAGCAGTGATTTCCTCGGGGGGCTGGCAGCACTACTCCCCTCCCCACGCCGGGGAAAGTTCCCCGAGAGGAAACAACACGGGTCAAACTCCAGGACTGAAGTGGAGCACATGCAGCTCCAGACACCGAGAAGGGAGATGTTTGCAAACACGCCTCCCCGTGGCACAGTCCCTTCCTCCCGATTGTAACTGGCCTGATTTTCAGAGGTGCCGAGACCCGGAGCAGACCAGATGTACGCAGCCGCCTCCAAGGGCTAGAACAGGGGGTCTCCACCTGTTTACACTGAGAGCCCAAGACACCCCTTGTTAGACTCAGGGCAGCCAGCTCTCAGGGGTAGGGAAAAACAAGAGCAATGTTTCTGCTGCACAGACCTCAGAAAGCCCACGGCAGGGTGGAGCGTGTTTAACGCAGGGGATTCCTGTTTGCAACCTCTGGGTGGATCTCGCGAATCGTGTTTGCGCAGCTAGCAGCGCTCACGTTATGTAGCGCCCTGCTGCATCCTTGAAAGGACCTTGGGGTTCAAAATCACCCTCCCTCCATCCAAAATCACCCCTTGCCTAAGCGTGGCTGTAACTAGACCAGCACAGCTCATCCCTGTCTGGGCAGAAGAGTAATCTGCTCCAGCATGAGACAGTTTTGTCCATTCCAGCCAAGGACGTGCTCCGCGCTACAGACCCAGCCCGAGATTAGTCATACCTTTTTCAGGGAGGAGTGAAGGCCCAGAAATGCAGCTCTGAACCTTATGATGAAATGACCCCCTGCAAACAGGTTCTCAACACAGCAGCCTGCGAGACAGGAAGGCAGAAGGCGGGAGGCAATTAGGAGATGACACTCACGTGACCATCCTCCCAGCCACAAGCTCAGATAAGAGGCTGCATGCATGAGAAGGAAACCACGGCTTATTAGGCTCTAACTCCCGAGACGCGCAGAAGCGGCCTGTCTAGGACACAGGCTGACCCAGCGGCAGGAATCTGCAAAGACAATCCAGGGCTCAGCAAGGGGCTGGCCCCGAGACAAGGCCGTGGATGGGGCCTGCAGGGCCAGGGAGCAAACCCCCGGCATGATGCAGTGCTCCTAAAACACCCCGAGAAAGTGCCCTCGGGGCTCTTCCCGAAAACCCCATCCCGCTCCGACAGGGTTGAATCTCAGCCTGCTTTGCCGCAGCGCGGACCCGCCGCTCCCTGCCCTGCCCTCTCCGAAGGAGAACGGTGGTCCGCCCTTGTCCTTAGGGCAGCCTGGCCTGCATCTGAAAGCTCCTGCCGTGTCCCACCTTAACCTCCCTTCTTCCAAACCAAACATACCTCGGCCTCTCGAGCTCCCCTCTCTCGGCTGGATGGCACCCCTTGTTTTTGTCACCTGCCTCTGGGTCTCCACCTCCTTAAAACACAGCACTCGGGACTGCTCTCAGTGGGGGCAGATGACAGGACAAGGAGCAATGGGCTCAAGCTGCAGCAAGGGAAGCTGAGGCTGGATATTAGGGTTGGACTAGATGTGACCCCCTGGGATCCCTTCCCACCCTCATTTCTGTGACTTCTATGAACTGCACACAGGACTCCAACTGAGGCCTGGCCAGCACGGCGTCGAGAAGGACTATCGCTTTTTGCATCTTACATCTGAGGTTTCTGCTCAAGCAGCCCAAAACTGCATTCGCTTTTATTGCAACTGCAGCACGCTGCTGCCTCGCGTCCGGTTGGACCCACCGAGACCCCTGGATCCTTCTCAGCAACACAACTGCCCAGTCGACATCTCCCATTCTCCAGGGGGTTTTCTAGCGCGCGGCTCCCCACTCCTCCAAAGGGCCCGCAGTCTCTCCCGCTTGTCACTTGATTCTGCATCTGCATCCAAATCCTTCACAGAAGCACGAACACCAGACCCCTGTGGAAACCTCCCGCCAGCCTGACGCTGACCCATTTATCACTGCGCTCTAATTGCAGTTCTTCAGCCACTTTGATATCAATGATACATAACCGGCTTTTTGATGCACAAGCTATTTGCTTTCCGTTTATCTCTGTAACTCATCTGAGAACGGCGTGTCTAATGCAGCTTCTGGAAAGCGTCAGTCTAAGTGTGTTAAGCAAACAGTGCCTCTTAATTCTATTTTCTTCCTACATTTACAGGCTTTTGTTAAAGATCTCTGCTGCCTGGATAACTTCCAGCAGAAAAAAAGCCTCCAGGAAGAGGGGCATTGAAAGGCAAAGAGCTCCTGAAACCCGCAGCCCTCGCTCAGGTCGGGTCTGGTCCGAGCGCGGTGCTAGCTCTGCTAGCTGGGAGCAGGATGAGCAGTGAGCCCCACGTGCAGGTGCAGGATGGTGCTCCTGTTACTAGAGCACTTCCTCGCTTCCTCTGTGCTGCCGCCCAGCACCACGCGCTCTTTAATGCGCTTACCCCACAACGCTCCAGGCCGGGAGGGAACCACCCCGTTTTAGCGATGGGAGATCAAGGCACAGCAGCTAAGTGAGGTGCCAGAGGCCGTGCAGGAAGTCTGCTGCAGCGCAGGGACCTGGATCCTAGGTCCCAGGCTAGTGCCTTGACCAGCGCTGAAGCTTGCCCGTTACACTCAGCTCAGCTCCCCGCCCGCCGGGCAGGACCCTCTCGCTGCAAGACACCTCCGGTGTCAAACGCCCGCCACCGGTCTACCCGAACGCATACGCCTGCTCCCACTGCGGGCACCAATTTGTACAGACCCTGAAGGGAGCACCTTTGAGAGGAAAATACTTTGCTGCAGGTTTTCACTGAACTGGCAGCGAGCGGGAAGCTGCGAGGTCAAAGCCGCTGCAAGGGCAGCCCAGACCCCCGGCTCGTGCCCGGCGCCAGGAAGGTCCCGCAGAGCAGCGTGCCCCAGGGCAGAGCGCTGTGGTCCCGATGCAAGCTGCACCCGCACGCGGGGCCCTTTGCTGGCAGATCCGGGCACGGGACGGCGTGCTGGGTCACGCCTGGACGCCGCGAGCCCACGAGAGGGGGAAAGCCAGAACCAGCAGCACCCGGGGGCACGCCTGCTCCTCTCAACCTCCGCTCTCTTCCCAGGCTCCCGTTCCCCCATCCAGCTGCCACCCCCGCGCGGATCACACGTGCAGGGCCCACTGCACGCCGTGTCCCCCGGAGCTGCCCCCGCCCTCGCCCGTGCACACGGCGGGCAAAGCCCAGCGCAGGGTTTGCTCCTGCACGGGGCACGGGGCTCTGCCCCACTGCGCTGGCTCCCCCCAGCCCCCCGGCCCAGGGGCAACCTGCCCGGGGCAATCGCGGGACAAGGCGCCGGGCACGCGCGGAGCGGAGCCGAGCCCGGCTGCGCCCTACCTGCGCCGAGCC